TATTAGAAGACCCCAAAACCCCAAAACCCCAAGTTTAGTTCAAAAGATGGCTTTATCTTGAAATTTAAAATAAGTCAATATTGATTCACAAATCTTGATTGTTTTCATTAAATTATTCTTGCTCAAATTGGTACATCTCAGCTTTGTAGTCTTCTAATACATCGTCTATTCCGCTTTCATTTTGCTATTGCTCTTATTAATTAGCACCACCATATTAAGATTTAAATTCATCAAAACTCATTGGTTTCACATCCTTATTTTCTCCTTGACTGTTGTATTGCTAATACATACTCATTAATATTGGCGAGACAATCGCTAGCACAGCTACTCCTATGGCTACTTTTCCTAACAGTCTGCAGCATTTCCTCAATCTAGAGGTTTATTTTTCCTCCTATAACTTCTTATCTAGCATACGCTAAAAAGTTTCCATAAATTTCTTAGACCTGTCTTCGCCCACAAATTTCATAGCATCTATGTAATTCTTTTTCTTCTTCTCTACCTCATTTTCCAATTCTTCGGTGGACTTTATTATTTAAGCCTATTATACTATGGATCCATCCTAATTTTCATCTTAAACTTAGTCCTTAGGTTCCTAATTTTCATCTTAAATTTAGTCCTAAGGTGCCAGCTCACTCGGCAGTTGCCTTAAAGGAGCAATGAGTTCGCAAATCAACAGACATTTTGCCGATAATTTCTAAAATGACTTTAATTTTGAGCTGAGTTCTTCTAAAGGATGTTGGTCTATCATTCTCGAGACAGACATAATGAGATGGAAAAGATTAGAGAATATTTTCTGGATAATCAAAAACTAAAATATAAGTGATGAATTAGCCAAGGTATTTACAATTTCATGGAAAGTAAGGTTCATCAAGAGTGAATACTTATTCATGAAGTCTGCTATTTAGTTGTCCTTTTCACCTTCTTTTGGAAGCTTAATATAAACTGCTAAATATATAGCTACCAGAATCGATGTCATTGAAAATTGCTTTGCAAACACTTACTAAATCAATTGTTAAAAGTTTTTAGATTTACATGCTTGTCAATCATAAAAAAGATCAAGATAAAAAAGATTGAGAAATGCATGCAAACGCCAAATGCCTAGAAGTATCTATGGGATAATGGGAATTGATTTCCTCTCTCCTTAAACTCCTCTTGTGTCACAATAATTAGAGATTTATCATAAATATCTCTAAGTACAGGATTAGTCAGTGCGTGTTCAATATCATCTAGTAAATCTAGAGTCAATGTGCTTTTCTCCATCTGGTACATATGATAATTATCTCTTAATTCGTCTCTAATTTCTTCAATTGCTTTTTTGATTTGCTAATTATTAGCACTTCTATCTAGCTTAAAAATTTCATAGTAATTTTATGCCCTCTCTATTGCAAAGGTAAATTGAAAATTTGTTACTTTCATGACTTAAGATATTTTAAAGATCGTAAGTAGTTAGAGCAAGGAAAATAAAGACCAAGCATAAGAATTTCTTTAGGCCTGACCAACCCTTTCTTGAAGTAATTCGACCTTGAATAGTTTGAATGATTATCATCTTTATGATTCCATTAAACTCATTGCCTTCTTATGGTGGTCCTTAATTTGAGTTCATTTTTAATTATAACTAAATATTATGAAATTAAGATTATATAGTAAGTTTATAATTTCTAATTATGATATTCTATTAATAATTGGTCATTGATTATTTGTGATTAAATCTTCGATTGGAAGGTATGCTACACATTCAGACAAGATTGATAATACATTTTCATCATTCTTATGACCATCAATGTACTTTTATATTGCAGGTGCTAATTTTTAGTCTGTTTTAAGGTATTCTTAGAACCCTTTAGCCTCTTTTGATAAGTAAGATAAGAAAAGTATGACATCAGTAAATAGTTAAAATGTAGACTGATGAGTTTCAAAACATTCTATCATTGTCCCAACTAATTGGCCAAATTATTTATTAATTGAATCTCCCTAACTCTACTCCTCAAATACCTTCATGAATTTCTTCAATGCCTTGTCTATTTTAAAATTATTTAGTTATACTAATTTTACCTGAGTTGCAGAGTAATCTGAGTATCTGAATTGAAGACCAAACAATATTGGCATTCTTTTTGTGTTTTTCCATAAATAAGAGTGACTTTTTAAAGATGCTTCCGCTGATATAATTTTGATAGGATATTTTATTGTCAGCAGTGTTTAGGATCAATCTTAATGAATAATCTATCATTGGAGTCATTTGATCATACTGCTCTAACACTGTGTATAAAAGCTAATAGAAACTAGCATCTTTTGATAGTGCTTGTTTATTCTCAACAGTTGTGGCTAAATTTATCAAACAACCCAAAGCAGTCTTAATAATTTTGGGTTTATTAATATTTAGCATAGCACTCATGATTACCAATTCTATCCCCTGATTGTCAGTAATCTCTTGTTTATGTTTATCTTCAACTGCCAGCACTCCTAGGCATCCTAAGATTTCTTTATAAATAAAAGCAACTCCTAGCTTATGGTGATAGCTAAGAGTTTAATTTGTCTAATTCTATTATGTCTCCAAAAAGATCTTTATAAAAGTCATCAAAGTTAGCAAAAAGTTCTTTGCTATTTCATCTTTATATTTTGGATTGCTTGCTAATCTTCTTATGATAGCTAAACTGAATGCAATCAAATTAATGTTGCTAGAATATTTTTGAACTATTTAAAGTGCAATATCTATAAACTTAGATTTCATAAGTTCCTCCTGCACATCCTCACAATCAATGCTAGCCTTCCATAATGCATAGAAACCGTACTCTGCTCTTTCGTATGCCCTAGTCTGACTTTCCTATTTATCCTTAATATCATCAGTCACTATCTTAATCAAATGAGGTATGGAGCCAAGCACCCATAGCATGATTTTATTATCATTTGAAACTGCTATATTTCCAAGTACACTGCAACATGACTTGATTAGTTTGTCATTATTGTAAAATATGGGGAAAGTCTTATCAATAAATTTGCTGCATAGTGAAACTCCGCCTTTAAGAATAAAGTACTCTCTATTTTTCTTATTGTCATGGACAAACTTGCCGAAAAAGTCGATGATATAAGAAATTAGATCTATGTACTCACTGGATTCATTTGGAGACAGTTACTTTTCTTAGTTTTAAATGGATGTGAGTATGTCTTTGATAAGTTTTATCATATTCTTGATAGCACCTTGCTTCCTATAACTCCTTCTAAAGTTGTCATTTACCATTAAATGAGAGGAAGCCTTTATCAGAACAACCAAGAAAGATTTGTATTTTATAGGGCTTTACTTATTCAACAGTGAAACAAAAAGCGATAAAATTGCAGATGCCAGTGAAGAAGATAGCAATTTAGAGAGCTCTTCTTTTTCTTGTACATGCTACTTGTATTCAGTGTTATCTTGCTCAAACTACTCTGATTATATTTCTTAAAAATCGATTTCTTCTTCAAAAACATCTAAATTAAAAATAAGAAGATGTAAATGACCTACGATTGATTTGAAATTGGTGATTGAATCCTAGTTTTTACATTAGTAGGAGAATTAGACTGCAGACTAAAGTTAGATTTTCTGAGGCGCTATTAGTCAAAATCCAATTGGCAAGGATATTCATGAATTCTTTGATTTATTCACTTGGTTTTATTTTGATTTCAACTTATTCCTGTGTTTCCTGCAATGGCGACTATGACTAAATTATTTGTTTTTTGTTTCCTAGTAAAGTGTCTCTAAGTTATTTTATAGCCTACTCATTCTACTTAGGTACTAGAATGTTTTAAACTTAAGATATAATTACTTTAATCTTTAGATTAGAGCAATTTCTAAATGTTTAACATAAGCTAGTCAATGTTTGCAGTTATTGTTACTGCTGTAGATTATGTTCTTTGCTCCATTCTTACAGTTAACTCTATTATAATTTTATTCAAATTCTTTTTTCTTTCGAATTATTAATAAATTCATTTCGGGGTTTTGGGGTTTTGGGGAGATCGGAAGAGCG